GCTGCAGTGGGCTGCCATGAGCCGCCATGAGCGGCTGTCCAATGGCCGGTGACTGACTGCCTCACCCGGGAAGAGCACAATGATAATACCAACATGGGCCAGTGAAGCGGCGTCCTCCACAACTAGACTGAAGAAGAAAAGGACAGCAACTTGGCTGTTCTCCTCCCTCAATTCCCCAATAAAATCTTTAAAGAAAAAAAAAAAGAGATCAGCCTTGGGCAAGAAGAAATCAGAGGGCAGGGGATGGAAGTAGGTCTGAGTGGTGCTCTGGGGAAGAGGGGGTCCTGAGCAGCAGCCTCGGTCGGTCGGCTTTCTCTAAGATGCAAGAGGAGAGGAAGTCGGCTAGCACATGGAGGGAGGCTGCGGGCCAGGGCTGAGGGGAGGAAGCTGTCACAGGAAATGGGGACTGGCACCAACCAGAAACCCAAGAGAGGCTCATTGCCAGAGGTGACGGTGCACTTCAGGGGAGGGACAGTAGCTCCAGCCCTGTCCAGACACCATAGTAAAATCAATGGACAGGCAAAGCCTGCAGTGGTGAGTTACCTGGAAGTTCCCCTTTGGAAATCGTGTCTGGGTCCAGCTTGTATGTGTCCTGAAGCCTCATCAGCGCCTTGGCGGCTCCCGTTTCATCCTCATCAGTGGGGAAGAACTGTCGCTGTACTGAGAGGTTGGCAATGAAACCTTTCAAACGCGAGAGTGAGAACAAGAGATTACCCTTCATCTAGGGGCAGAATTCCATCTGGGATCAGGAAGGTGCTCACTGGAGGGTCTCTGGCTAGTGTGATTTCCCTGCCCCCCACATCAAAGGCTGTTTCCCCCTCCACCAGGAAGCCCTCCTGATGGCTCCAGTCCATGGAGACCTCTCCTTTCTCACTCCTCACTGTACCAACCACCTGTGCTGCTTGTTTGGAACTGAACAGAAACAGCCCCACACAGTGGTCAGCATGTGGGAGTCCTGGCTCCAAAGTACTCAGACCTGGTGGGGATAAAAGGGACAGAGAATAGAGAGAGGGTCACTGAGAGGGGCACAGGAGAGGACTCAGGAGGATGTGCTGACCACCTAGTGGAAAATGAACCACATGAGGGCCAGCCAAGTGGCTCAGTTGGTTAAGAGCGCAAGCTCTGAGCAACACGGTTGCCAGTTCGATTCCCACATGGGCCAGTGAGNGACCTCAGGCCTCTAACTAAAGGGTTAGGTCACTGTCACTGCAGCAACCCTGAAGCACAGCTCACCCCCACCCTGCACAGCAGCACAAGCACCACAGAACTGGATTCCTATTTACAAAGCGAGCACGTAGGGCCCCAGGTGTTACAGGTCTGAGTGCAACTGGGCAAGGGCTCAGGCCAGAGCTGAGGAGAGCAAGGAGCTCACTGGCAGCTGGACTGGGCCTGAAAGCAGGAAGGCATTAGCCACTGGCCAGGTGACAGGTCAGACTGCCTCAGCCCCCAAGACGAGGTCATAGCCAGGAGACTGATCAGTTCTGCCAGCTGCCCACCCTCATCGGAACTTCCCCTAGAACCTCCTTACCAAGGGAGAGCAGGCGGCGGGTGAGCTCCAGGGCGCGGTGCAGGTCGCCCAGCTGGAAGACGGCATAGCTCAAGTAGTCCAGCACCTGGGCCTTGGTTGTGGTGGCCTCCTCCCCAGCATCCAGCTGCTTCAGCACCTGCTCCATCCACAGCACCGTGTGGTAATAGTCCCCTTCATTGTAGGCCGAGCGGCCCATCCCAAAGCAGTCGTCTGCACTCATCACTGCCTGGTACTTGGTTCCTGCAGCCAGAGAGGTAAACGGTCAGGCTCCAAAGAGCCTCTGGGTTAGGGAGGGGGATTCCCACATCGAGGAAGCTGGGCCACTGGAAGGGGGCGTCATCCCAGCAGAGCCCCATAGGACATCAGACCACACACCTCAAAGGGCCATTGGTTCAGTGAGCACAGCCAGGCTGGCCCTGCCTCAGGCTGGAGTCACAGCCAGTCTCCCAGCCTCAGGCTCCCCTGCTCCCAAGTGGGAAGGGGCCTTTGTTACAGAGGAGTCCAGGAAGCCCACCAAGAAGTGTTGTTCAGGGGAGTATGAAGGTCCTGGGCAGCTGGCCATGTGAGTCTGGAGGAAGGAAAACTTAGTTGAATATAAAAAGCAGAAGTTAGGTGGCATCTAAAGCCATGGATGAGGATAATCACTACCAGGAAGAGTCTGAAGAAAGAGGAGAGAAGGCAGCTGAGGCCAGAGGCCCAGAGAGCACCTATACAGAAAGGACAGAGGAAGAACACTGAGAAGGACCTCAGAGGTGGAAGAAACAGAGGGTAGGGGAGCCATGTGACAGACACCAAGTGAGGCCACGAGCCAAGGCTGCAGTGCCAACTTTGGCAGTTAGGTGGCGGGGACCTTGCTGAGCACCAATTCAGCAGTTCCTGTGATCATGAAGATAACTTTAAGCCAAGAAGCAGATGTGGTGTGTTAGCTCTGGGGCATGCAGGGTTTAGGGTGGGGCAAGGTGGGAGGGGCCATGAGTGTGTTCCTCAGAGAACTATGTGAAAGCAGGTCCTGTGGAGACTAAGGAAGGGCTGTGACCCTCCCTGGAAAGCAAGGGAGTCTCCCTACAACCTGCTAACAGCAGTTGGGGCATGGCTGGCATGGAAGAGCCACCTTAGTGGGCTCCTTCTGCCTGACGGCCAAGATGGGGCTCTGACCAGAATGAAACCCCTGCTGCAATGCGTTGGCTGCTTCAGAGATCAGAGTCTGCTTGCCCTGGTGGCTCAGGGACAATGTGGGATGGGAAACTGGGGACAGTAAATACAAGATGGAGTTAGTAGGCAGGCCAGAGATTAGGGGGTGCCTTGAGCCCCTGCCCACTCTCCATGGACCTTCCCCGAGCTCCTTTGGCTGTGCGCCTGGGAAGCTGCACTGATGGGAGGCAGTAGGACACAGCTGAGCGAGCTGGGGCTCTGGATCTGGGCTCACTATGGCACCCACCGGCTGTGTGACTATGGACGAGTTACTCAGCCTCTCTGAGCCATAGTCCCCTTATCTCTAAATAGAGATAAACCCATCAATTTTAGAGGACCTGAGGCCCAGCCGAGTGGCTCTCAGTTGGTTAANCAGGCCCTGAGCTGACTGAATCCTGACCCTCCGTCCCAGCCTGGCTGCCGCAGACACTGACTCGCACCCCACGTCCAGCAGCTGCTCCCTCCCACCCCACCACGGAAGGAAACAAAAGCCTCTCAGCTTCACTGGCAATAAATGACACCCCACGACTCATGCAATGTTTCTTCTTTCCCAGGGCTACCTCACGTCCACAGGTCCTGTGGCAGAGGGTAACCCCTGACCCCTCCTTTCACAGAGATATGAGTGGGTGTGAAGGGTTGGGGCAGGGAGGAACCTTTCCAGGAGGAAGGGCCAGTGGGGGCCAAGCCGAAGGCATGGAAAAGGCCGAGACTGCCTCACACCTGAGCCTCTTTGAGGGAGCCCTGGGATCCCAAAGGCCAGTGATACCTGATACCAAGCTCTAGCGAGTGTCCTGTCTTTACTACAGAGAACATGACTTCCCCTGGGGCCTAAGACACGTCTGCATCCACAGTTTTCTTCCCAACAGCGACTCAAGCAGAAGCCAGGCATGTTGGGGTGGGGAGGGGTGCTCAGTAATAACTTAAGAGGATTGAAACTTTACCTGGAACTTGAGGGGAGACAGTCTCCTACACCTCAAAGAACACCCACGCCTCAGCAATTGCTACGAAGAACTAGGGGAGATGCTGCAAAACCCCCTACATCCTCCCCAAATCTGCCTGTCCAGAGCCAAAGCCTAGATCTACAGCTGGGCACCTGACCAATCCACATCTCTCACCAGTTTGACACCCTCCCCACGACAGAGGCTCTCATAGACATCTCTCTCGGGCAGGTAGTCCACAGGCCGCTCATAGATGCCTTCCTGGCTTGCTAGCTCAGCTTCTGTCTGATTTGATACCCTTTTTTCTCTTTCTTCCTCCAACAACCGTTCAAAGTACCGCAGATTCCCTCCAGCTCGTTCATGGCTCGGGTCTAGAAAAAGCAAAGAACAAGAAGGAAAAGGAAACCACAAACATCTGTTAGGTCATTTAGAGAAATTATTCTATAAGCGGTTTTCTCTCCAAGCAGCCTCTTGCACGCAGCATTCTGCCTTCTATAGCACCTAGCCAGGGTTCGCTAGTCAGAGCGGAAAAGCTGCGGAGGTTCCCCCGCTCTGGTCAGAGATAAGAAAGGGGCAACAAAGCAGGGGACACTCAACTGGCCAGCAAGGGGGCTGTCCTCTCAGGCCTCCCTGGAGGTCCCGAGGACACAGGTCCAGAAAAGCAGTCCAGAGCCCTGCCACCACATCCTCCTGACTCGGCTGTGTGCCAGCTACATCTGTCCCCTAGAGTACATCCATCACTAGTGACCACATCACATGCTGATCACAGCTAGAGGCAGGCTGAAATACTGGCAGAAAGAACAGCCATGTGGCACTGTAAGAGCTTCACCTTGTGGGCCTCACAACACGAAGGATCGCTGTGCCCTCCTCAGATGAGAAAACTGAGGCCCAAAGACCTTGTAAGAGACTTAGGTTAAGGTTATGCCGGACAGGAATCCAGGTGTCCCTACTCCCAGCCCAAGGCTCTTACAAACACGACAGAATCAACAAAGCTCTCTTCCCACATCAGTCTGGCAGGACCCTCCTATGCTGGCAGATGTCAAGCTCATGAAAAGCAGCGGCACAACAAAGTCCTTGCTGGTCTGTGAAATTCCAGACTGTGATGTTCCCATATATTAGTAAGAGGTGGGACAGATGGCTTTTAAAGACACACTGCTTTTGATCTCCTCAGTCCAACAGGACAAGACATCACACACCAATGCCATGACAAGTCCCACCAGTTAGACCTCAGGCCTCTAACTAAAGGGTTAGGTCACTGTCACTGCAGCAACCCTGAAGCACAGCTCACCCCCACCCTGCACAGCAGCACAAGCACCACAGAACTGGATTCCTATTTATAAAGCGAGCACGTAGGGCCCCAGGTGTTACAGGTCTGAGTGCAACTGGGCAAGGGCTCAGGCCAGAGCTGAGGAGAGCAAGGAGCTCACTGGCAGCTGGACTGGGCCTGAAAGCAGGAAGGCATTAGCCACTGGCCAGGTGACAGGTCAGACTGCCTCAGCCCCCAAGACGAGGTCATAGCCAGGAGACTGATCAGTTCTGCCAGCTGCCCACCCTCATCGGAACTTCCCCTAGAACCTCCTTACCAAGGGAGAGCAGGCGGCGGGTGAGCTCCAGGGCGCGGTGCAGGTCGCCCAGCTGGAAGACGGCATAGCTCAAGTAGTCCAGCACCTGGGCCTTGGTTGTGGTGGCCTCCTCCCCAGCATCCAGCTGCTTCAGCACCTGCTCCATCCACAGCACCGTGTGGTAATAGTCCCCTTCATTGTAGGCCGAGCGGCCCATCCCAAAGCAGTCGTCTGCACTCATCACTGCCTGGTACTTGGTTCCTGCAGCCAGAGAGGTAAACGGTCAGGCTCCAAAGAGCCTCTGGGTTAGGGAGGGGGATTCCCACATCGAGGAAGCTGGGCCACTGGAAGGGGGCGTCATCCCAGCAGAGCCCCATAGGACATCAGACCACACACCTCAAAGGGCCATTGGTTCAGTGAGCACAGCCAGGCTGGCCCTGCCTCAGGCTGGAGTCACAGCCAGTCTCCCAGCCTCAGGCTCCCCTGCTCCCAAGTGGGAAGGGGCCTTTGTTACAGAGGAGTCCAGGAAGCCCACCAAGAAGTGTTGTTCAGGGGAGTATGAAGGTCCTGGGCAGCTGGCCATGTGAGTCTGGAGGAAGGAAAACTTAGTTGAATATAAAAAACAGAAGTTAGGTGGCATCTAAAGCCATGGATGAGGATAATCACTACCAGGAAGAGTCTGAAGAAAGAGGAGAGAAGGCAGCTGAGGCCAGAGGCCCAGAGAGCACCTATACAGAAAGGACAGAGGAAGAACACTGAGAAGGACCTCAGAGGTGGAAGAAACAGAGGGTAGGGGAGCCATGTGACAGACACCAAGTGAGGCCACGAGCCAAGGCTGCAGTGCCAACTTTGGCAGTTAGGTGGCGGGGACCTTGCTGAGCACCAATTCAGCAG